AGTAAAGAGGGAGTCTAACCCCTCATTTTCTCTCACTTCCAGTCAGCCCAGACAATCAATAGCAGTGAAATGGGGTCTTGAGATCGAGGCCTCTCTTCATGTGCCCCTGCAATCAGCCCAGTTACATCAGGCAGACAGGGGGCCAGCAGCGGGCCTACTAGGAGCTGTGTACTTGGGCGGACATGGAGCTATGTATGTGATTACCAAGTGCGCTAACAAGCTGAGTTTCACCAGCGTATTTGTGTATAACATCTTTGACTGAGAAATCTCCAAAGCATATTCAATGAAACCTCACTTATTTAGATCTGACGGAGGACAAATATCTATTCCCTTTTAAGGTCCAATAACAATAAAGAGATTTGAAGTCCTCGGAGTCACAACAAATATAAAAGCTCTTTCTTTGTTAATCCATTCAAGTGTGGCAGTGGAATAAAAAAAAAGAAAAATGTTTGCTTTCACAGGAAATAAGCTATTGTCACTCAAGGGCGCTCACCGCCTGTTTAGCTTTTAACACGTCAAGTTTATCACACCCTTTTCTTTAGGCTCAGAAACACGATTTTGCCTCGTCGAGTATGGAGTCATTGCTCGCGGCTGACCAAACACACTTTTTCGCCTTATTAACATTCGCAGGGACAGGCTGCGGAGCTGCAGTCGCACTCAGACTAATTCCCTTATTCCTGAGAGGGCCGCGGTGATGTATGAGGGGAATGAGATGGGAGGCACAGGTCGATTGGCCAACACCGTCGCCATCACACTGTAATGAGATCTCAGGGGGAGGGGGAAAATAGAGGCCGATTCCTCCAACTCCCAGCTTGCATCATACTAATTGGCCTGAATGGGATAGGTAAGATGTAGGAAGTTTTAATGACATTATTAAAAACTATAGAATTTCCTCACCTGCCTCTGACAAATATCATCAGTGAGGAGGATTGACACTGTCATGTGTGGTTTCCTATTTACTTGGCTCAATATCAGTGGTCGACCTCGCTAAGGCTCTCGGGGCCGAACGGGAGTAAATACCCGCAGTCAGGTTTCCGATATCTTGACGAGAGTCTTCCCAGAGGTGCGGGGGCTGTTACAGCAGCAGATTCATGTCCATGGCTCTGGGATGATATCACGTATGGGTGTCATGTTCAGGCGCCCATATAGTGCATTTCATATTCCTTCATGGACGTAAATGGAGCCTTTCCACCACATTTAGTCATTTCCATGTGTTTATATTCGTGTAATTCACATTCCAAACATTGTTTGAGACATCTGCCTCTCTCGCTGCTCTGTTCCATCACATTTGCATATTGGCTGTGACTTCCAGAGTAAACAAATGTAGAGGTAGCGCTACCTATATTGTCTGCAAGTGGGTGTGTGTGTGGCGTGAGCCTGGAGACAATCCAGAGGTAGAAATTGTGTGGAAGGCACTTTGCAAATTGCATTGATCTTTTTCCAGTCCTGCCTCCCACCTGCCTGTGTTACAGAGGCGTAGAAGAGGGGGGGGCAGTTGGACACACCTGCTTCTTTTTTCTACTCCTGTCGTTGTGTGCTTCTTTTCCCTATCGGATTTACCATCTGTCTCGCTTCCTTCCTCTTGCTTTTCCTCTTTTTAAATCCCCCCCCCCCCATGCACTCACTTTCTATGTATCGCTCTCCATCTTATGCACACCCACTTTTCCTTCGCTAATAACTGGTATGACTCACATGCTTTCCCGTGTCCTGTCCTTCTAATTACATCATTATTAGTCGTCACAGCGATGAGCAGCAGTGCGGATACAGAACGGGACTTAACGAGTGAGAAATCACGGTGAAACATGGCAGGGTCAAAAGTAACCGTGTTTGCATTTGTACCTGTGTTTAACGAGTTGTGAGATGATCGAAATATCTAACAGGCGCTACACTCAGCGATCAGACTACCAGATTTTGGTTTTGAACTAACTTTTGGAATTTGAGGGATGCAGTTGTTTAGTGTTGGAGGAACCAGCACTGAGATTGATTCATCTGGTACGTTGGCTCCTTCACAGCAACTGATATCCCATGATTCAACATATTTTGCCAGAAGTTTTTTAGAAATCATATTTGGAATATCAAAGCCTAATTAAGCTTAATGTTACCCCCATCTCTTGGACAGCGGCCAAGCATAAGCACACAGTCATGAAAATGACATGAAAGGGCTTCTTGCAAGCTGGTGGGATCTCTTTCATTACAAATGAAGCAGTGGGGCTGCAAATCAAACCGTTACGTTGTTAGTGCAGACTGAACTGTGGCATTGATTGTTTGGGGAGATTCTTAGTGGTGTTAATTAAATTATTCAAATACATTCAAATTAAAATAAAAGGTTAACTCATTTTAATTAGTTTGGCTTATAGTTACAGTGTATAGTGCTTTGGGTGTTATTTGATCAGTGGGAAAAAGGATGCTGCCACTACATCTCGCATGCTTCATGAGGAAAGGAACTGTTAAAAATAGTCAACACTAAGCATTGTAACCAATATGGAACTAGAGATGTAACCAACTATCAGAACACAACTTTAATCATCCCTGTTATCCTTTCTATGGTGCCATTTTGGACAGGTGCTTCCTAAAATAGAGATTGTACCTCAGACTTCCTGGTTTCTTAGACGGAGCTTCAGAAAACATACAGTGTGTTTTCTGTCCCTTCACCCCACTGGCTCCACCATAAAGCAGGCTGTTAATACTCAGGTGGGCAGGGGACTCCAAGATGATTCTCCAGCTGTGATAATGGACCCCAGGGATATTTGCAGTACTCATCAGGGAGCTGGAGCTTTGACGCTGGCTTCTAGAAGCTGCCAACGCTCTAAGGAGTCTCCTCAGACTCCAAAAGGGCCCTAGATGGACCGCTATCGACTGGCCTGCTTCATCTTCCCTGAACCTGCAGAGACTGTCCCACTGCGGCAGCCTTCAGAGCAAATATACAGTACATGGCGGAGTGGACACAGGGTCTAAAGCGGGAGGTTGTGTGTGTACATGCAAGTGTACACATCTAAGAATGTCAAACGGTATGTAAACAGCTACACAGCCCTCACTGGCATTCACACTAACATGGGGTCACACAACTACAATAGAGAAACAAATGTCAATGCAAGCTCCCAAAGTGCTTTTTGTGTAACTGGTAAACAAACAAATATAATTTAATATTTGTTTTATTTTCCTTTCACATTTTATTGTTCAGTTTGATAAAGGAGTTGTTAATCACAGTGCAGCTTCACCTGAATTGGAAATCATTAAATGGCAATAAGTCTCTCTTGTTGTAAATCTGTCATCAGATAACATGCGCTCACATGTTTTTTTTAAGGATGACATTTTCGAATTGGCCAGCGAGTTAAATTGGCTAGTTTGTGCCAATAGCCAATATTTATTGGCAAAACATCCGCATTGATTGTGAAATTGTGAAACCAAGTGATATTTTAATGCTGCACAGAATCTTTCAAAGCTCACTTTACATGGCAGAGCAGGCCTGTTTTCAGACACATTTTTCCAAAGCGGAAACTTTGAAATTGATCAGTATAGGTTGTTTGTCCACAGGGAGCTCGGTTTAGGCAACAAATCCACATAGATAGTTTGAGGAAATGAGCGTCGTTGACATGAACTTGACTGACTAACAACTCAAGTGACTACCGCGTGACTAACGACGAGCGAGTGTCAAAAGAGTCACGCTTGCATATACTTCACATGGGCATCACACCTTCAATTTTGGATAATATACTTAAAGTTATGAAATATTGCTTTAAAGGCGCTATATTTGAAATTCAGAGCGTTATAAAGTATTTGTAATGTAAATATATAGTGCCGTCCTGCGCATGAGAAGGAAGTCAGTCTCCCTCAGGTCGGTCAGTGCTCCTCAGCGTCTGACACCGAAGCACTGAGCCGCTGTTAAGCGTGAGTATGCGGCACACCGGGCCTGCAACCAACTCTAATGTAAAATCACCCACGTCCTCATCACGCGCTCAGATCAACTGACGTAGTATGAAGGGATAAATAGTTCACACAGGGCGGGAGGGGTGGAGGATGGGTCAAACAAACCCCGCACTTTTGTCCAGGAGACTGCTGTTCGTGTCCAGTGATGAATAAAAAGAAAACGTTAACATTTTGTCACATCGGCCGTTTGATACGTGACTCTTCTGTCACTCGCTTGTCGTTAGTCACTCGCTAGTCAATTGAGTTGTTATTCAGTCAAGTTAACGTCAACCACGCTCATTTCCCGAAACTAACTAAGTGGTTTTGTTGCCTAAACCGAACTTTCTGTGAAAACGGTAGAAATAAATGCGAAAGAAATGAGTAAATTGGATATCAGTCTTGGTGGAGGCATATGATAAAAACGAATCAGAAAAATAAAAGTATTAAAATTACAATACAGTGTGAGCCACATACTAAAGGCTCCTTGTTAGCGCTGAAGATTACATATTTTTTACAGAGGATATCTTTCCTAGATGTCTAAAAAATGTTTGCCAAATGAATGCCTACTGCACGCTATGTTGAGTTAAGTATCCATGTCAGAATGTATTCATTTTCGTTGATTGAAGCACTTTTCCACCCTGATTTAATCACTGGCTGTCTGTTGGGTCTATGCAACAGCACGAATGGATGCTTTTATAAAGAGATTGGATTTTTTTTACATGTACATACATATTGTTCAACTGTAAGTGCTGCATGTACACACTGCATGAAATCATTTCCCATTTTCGCTCTCCTCCCTCCCTCCATCTGTGATACTGCGGGGCCAATCAGGTGAGTCACCTGGGCGGGGTGACGGGGAGCAGGGTATGCGGTGAGGGGGAGGAGGCACACATGTGGAAAAAACAGGCGGAAACTGGGATCAATTCTCATCATCTCTGTGGCAGCTGCTGCCTGGTTAGGTGATGTGAAGGAGGCGTGAACCAGACCGACCATGATGTTACGGAGCAGAGAATCAGCCACCATCAAAGGGTGTGGAGGATGGTTGGGGTCTGTATTAGTGTGTCTGGAGGGCTGTTCCAGGGCCAGGAACTTACCCCTGCAGATGGTGCCGTTGCCCACGTAGCCCGGCTTGCAGGTACACAGGTGTCCTCTGATGGTGTTGGTGCAGATGGCGTTCTCATCACACAAATTTTGGCCGGTGGCGCACTCGTCATGCTCTGAGGGAGAGATGAAGAGAGAGACTCCACAGTCAGAATAGTGTGTGTGTGTGTGTGTGTGTGTGTGTGTGTGTGTGTGTGTGTGTGTGTGTTTGTTGTGTGAAAGATGGAGATGTCATTGAAAAAGCTCATTTCATTTTGAGCTGAGCAGCCATGGAAATTCAACTGATGAGAGGGCAGTCAACAAGCTAGTTGGCTGAGAATATGAGGTCACAGCTGAGCTTTTCCTCCGTCAACAGCCAGCTTTCTGAACGTCCATGTTTCCAAACACCAGGGCAGCTTGGTACGTTCATAGTGGATTTGAAAAAGACTCTGTAACATGAAAGTTACTTCAAACAATGGCCAAAGGCACAGCTGCTTTTTCTAGCCTGGATTTACTTTAAAATCATCGGGGGGTAAAGGTGTTCACGGCTGCATTTGATACATGCCAGGTGTGCTGACTGATTGCTCAGTATCAGCAGTAATTAGCCTAATGATGTTGGCTCAGATACTGGTGACAAGTGAGACAGAAAAAACATCAAGGAATACATCAATGCCTATCATTTATGAAATCATATAAACAAGTTGAGCTTTCTAGACGGGATTCCATCTGAGAGATTTTGCTCTGACATGCACTGTGAGCTGTAAGGTCTTATATAGACAGGTGTGTGCCTTTCCTAATCAAGTCCAATCAGTTTAATTAAACACAGCTGGACTCGAATGACGGTGTAGAACCATCTCAAGGAGGATCAGAAGAAATGGACAGCATGTGAGTTAAATATGAGTGTCACAGCAAAGGGTCTGAATACTTATGACCATGTGATATTTCAGTTTTTCTTTTTTAATAAATTTGCAAACATTTCTACATTTCTGTTTTTTTCTGTCAAGATGGGGTGCTGAGTGTACATTAATGAGAAATAAAATGAACTTTTTTGATTTTAGCAAATGGCTGCAATGAGACAAAGAGTGAAACATTTAAAGGGGTCTGAATACTTTCCGTACCCACTGTATATGGATTTTTTAAAACTTTTTTTGTTGTGAAAGTGTGTCTGTTGGAAGTCGTTTTAAGTTTTGTGAATCCTTATTTAGAAATCAATCAGAACTCTTGTGCTGGAATATCTGGCTCTGGTTTGTCCATTGTCAATTAGATTTCACTCTGTAATACCAATATCAACTGGAATAATACAGTTATATAAAAAAATCTATAAATGTGCATATTCCCAAGCTGATTTGTAATTCCTCAAATTACCACAAACAAAGTGGCACACATCGAAACGGATGCCACCGAGGATCTGCAGCCACAGGACAGTTTTTTTTTTACAGATTATCTGCCTCATGCACTACTGTCAGGATATAGTGACAGTTTGAGCAAATATGTCTTTTATTCACATTACCAACTGTAGCTTTAAGTCCACTGTTCAGCACTGCGTCAGCCTGCGGCAGCATGTTAATGACACCACAATCAACATGTCATGCAAAACAGTGTCCTACATGTTCCACTAATGAGCCCCACACTGAACGATCCTAATACGTCAGCTCTGGATTTGACCTGAGGCCAACACAACCGTGCATAAGTGGCAATGCGCAATTAAAGAAAAAAGCAAATCAGATGAAAAGGAACACAATTATAACAACATGAAATATTAATTATGGATCTCTCTCGGTTGCTTCTAAATATGAGATTAACTGATTTGTGGCAACGTGTTTATTGATTCAACACTTACTGCTGAGCTTATCAAACTGATTGAGCTGCAGTTAATGCATCTTCAATTAGAATCTAACATGATTTTAGATGATTATAAACAATACATTAAAGAGCAACCGTTGATGGTGCTGCGGTGGGGATTTACAACAGATCTGCACTGCAGCAGTATCGTTTTATCAAACCATGAACTGTGTCTTTAAGTGCCAGTCAGGAACTGGCCTGAGGCGGCCTCCACTTGCGATGTACACACTCGCTCAAACACATTCCTCATTAATATGCAAACGCTTTTGGTGGGAGTCATGACTAATACATTCCCTGTAATTAATGAGTGGTGCTCATGGAGCCCCGGAGCCGCGAGGAGAAATTATTTAGCTTTTCTCTTCCCAAGGATTTCCTCCCCACGCCGATCTGTAAAGTGGAGGTAAATGTCAACCGCGCTGGTGGGATGTGTGAGAGTTTATGTGAAAGGATATAAAATGTGGGCTGCATTAATGGCAGAGTAATAGAGGAAGAGTTACATTATCAAATATTCAGTGTGTTAATGTGCTGTGAGCTGATGGAGGGGAGAGCAACACAATCAAAACATTGACGACCATTGCTGCTTATTAATGCTGTTTAATGTCCGCTGGCCAATTTTAAATTATAGAGTTGGAAGTAGAAACGGACAGATGCGGTGGCTGAATTGACGGATAATCAGTGAAAGTGAAAAGCTGCCAAGCTGTACAAGCAATAAATCCCTCCTCCAACATACTTAGGGGCCACATTTTTGTGGCGGCGCAACAGCCAGTGCAAGCAGCACTCTGACCGTTTGGTATTTTCCTGCCCTTGACAAGAAACAACAAACAGATGGCATAGATACACGTTCACATAATCGACTTGATTATCACTTCTAACTGGATCATTAGAAGTGTGTTGTATGCGTCGATCATTGTTCTATCTTTCTTCTAAGATATGAACGTGATTTCTGATTCCCTGGGTTATTTATTCAATTCCAATAGATATCATTTACAATCTTTCCATTTGGAGTTCATCAAGTTAGTGCAGCTTTGTATATCAATAGGATATGTTTTCTTCTGACCAACACACACTGGCCATTAGAGAATCTGCATTTTTTAATGCGCCTCTACACTGGCTTCAAAAAGCAGGACTGAAAAATAAATCACAGCTCTCACAGATTAATAAATGAAACATAAACCATCAGAAATGGATCAAATCTACTACTTGAATTTAAGGGGTTTTCAAGTTGTTGTTTTTCTACAAGTGATGAATGATTGTGTCAATGAAAAGATACAAACATTGACAGTAGTGAGCTCAGTGGAGACAACAACAGCCCCGTCTGAACACGCTGCCTGTCACTTTCAGGTTTGGTCTTATTAGTGATGATTATAAAGGGTGTCAGGCCCGGGCATGTTGAGGTGCCCCACCCAAAGTGCTATGCTAATGATGCGTAATGACTGATCATCAGGACAGCGGCCGTCACACTCAGAGTGGCCTCTGCACTGTCAACACACCGGAGAACGCAGGGTAATAGGAGGATCGGAGGGGTTTATTTCTCATTTCATGGAATTAATGACAAAAACAATATGTTCCTCACCAGTGAGGACGGCACAGAAATAGAGCAGTGGCTCCACTTTAGTGCTGAAATGTACACTTACATTACACACGGTGCTTCAGATTGAACACAAAATGCCTTATTTACAGAGAGTAAAAATTAGTTTGAAGTTTGAATTCTAGAGTTGCTTTTGTCCTCCAGTGTATCTTCTTTGCATTTTGTTTCTGTAGGAGTGTCTTAAAGCCTCGGGGTGAATGCTAATTTTCCGCTCACGCTGAAACATTTCCAATGCACCGGCAACTATTGGCCTCCATCTGCACTGCCTAGAGTTACAGCAATGAACTGTGTCCACTTGTCTCTTCACATCGACTTTGAATAAATCACGACGCCTGTAAAATGCACTTCATGTTCAGTCTCGATTTAACACCAAAATAAAATAAGTATGCTTGTTCATGTACGGTACTTAACTACAATTTTAAGCAACACATTAAAACTGGATATGGGTCTTCAGCTTGGCCCAATAGGAGAACCTTTTTCTACCTACAACCTAACAAAGGGTTATACCTAGAACCACCTGTGAAAGGTTCCACCCAGAACCCCCTATGAGAGGTTCTACACAGAACTCTTCCATAGTGTAGTGGGTCCACCCAGAACCCTCTCTGGAGGTTTTATCCGTTACGTTTCCACCTTCTAAGGGTGCTAACAAGAACCCACCCCAAGAACCCTTTACGATTCTCAAGGATTTCCTCTATAACCTACCCAGGGTTCCTCACGAGGCTCCTAGAGGGCCGGAGCTGATGTGGCGCAGCGCAACCCACAAATGTTTTCAACTTGATGTGCTTTATTAAAACAAAAATAGCATCACAATATAAAACAAACTGTTGTATGAGGATACGTTGAATTATGACATTTTGTAGAGTGTGTGTGTCAGCGTTGTGTTCAGTGTGCAAACCAATCGCATCAAGACAGACAAGCTGTTTTAAATACGGCACCTTAATAATGGGGATGGTTTTGAAGAGGCAGATTTGATTGAGGAGAGACTTTCTGCGAGACGTGTGAGCGCAGCATCTTTTGTAAAGCGAGCTTGTGTGCACCGACCATAATGTTGTGAGTGTGCTGCTGAGGCCCAGTCATCTGTGCTGGACCTTTAAAAGCTCTCTCTCCACACTAACCATTCCAAACAGTAAATACTGCAGCAGCATTGCCTCCACGCAACACAAATATGTTTTTATAGCATTTTTGTTTGATTCCTATTTATTCTTGTCTTTTGGTTTCCTGTCAGAATCTCCCATTACACATATTTCACTCAAACTGGATTGTCCGTGTCAATTCACAGCGTGTGTCTTTTTTATGTCACAGAGAAACTAAACTGCAGTCGGTGTTCGTGTCATAAAAGTGACGGCTGCCGACATTTCTTTCCTCATATTTCATCTGTCTTCTGTTCTTTTTTTCAGCGCTCACAACCATTTTTTTTTTTAAATTGTCTCTAAAACTTAATAAAAGTGACGAACTCTGTGTGTATTATGGGATCTATGAGTAAAACCAACACCTCATAATTCACTTTTACTTTGCATAAAACAATCCTAAAACATGTCCTCATCTCTTTAGCTTTCACGTCGTCTCATTCAATAATGTCAAACAGAACACTTCAGTAATGTGAAGTTTAATGACCAGTGACAAGCCCATAAAAAAAGAACAGAGCACGGCAGGATTTTTTCCGTCTATATTTTCTCTTTCTTTTTTTGTGCCAATGCAAAGTTGTCA